TCAGCAGCAGCAGAGCCCCTTAGGCTCCTATCTCAAATGGACCTACAGCTGTGCCTGCTGCTTCTCACATGGTGTATGAGCCGCCGTGCCTCTTACCTCGTCAGAACCACACCTTCGGATGTGCTGCCATAAGAGACCTGGTCGGCGTGGGGGGAGCAGCTGCTGCACACCTATCCGACGGCCGCACAGCTACAGGCGGCGGAGCGAGGGAGAATCTAGTGGCAAGCAGCCCTGCTCGTGACACTAGGTGGCCTCGGCATCACCAACCCTACGACGGAAGGGGGGTTTGCGTACCTGGCTCCGGTCATCTCTTCCGCACATCTGCTTCGCTCGTTTGGCAACACGGTTCACCCCGCCGTCGCCCATAACCTGCCGCTGATGGATGCAGATGTAGACTCACCCTCCGCCCTACCAAGACGCCTCGTTGCGATAGAAGCCACCCAGCCTCCAGACGGACTAGAAGCACTTCAGGTCGGCCGGCGTGACTCTGATGGTCCGAAGCTGCATCGGGCACTGTCGTTGGCCGTCCACACTGCTCGGTACATTGAGCTGCTTGATGCCTCGCGGGACATGCCCTTGAACCCGCTCTCTGGCCACACACAGCGCCTGCACACTCTCCTCGGCCCCGGGGCAGGAGATTGGCTGCTTGCCCTCCCCCTGATCCCGACCCTCCACCTAGGCCCCTCTCAGCACTCCACAGCAGCCTCCTTCTGCCTAGGCCTCCCCCTTCCTGTCCCACGGCGATGCGACTGCCACTACTGCACGACCTTCCCCGATCACCGCCTTCCCAACCACCTCATGCGTTATGAAAAAGGGGGGGGGGGGGATTGCTACTCACCATGCCCTCCGTGATGAGTGTGCGAAGATTGCAGCCGAGGCAGGCTTCACGGTGCACAAGAAATCTACAGTGTACTCACTGGTAAAAAACCTCAAAGCGGATGTTTGCATCCGCTATCCCGACACCAGTGAGGTATGGATATACGACATCACCGTGACGGATCCGGTCTCCCACCAGGATGGGCATGCGCGGAAAGCGCCTGGGTGGGCTGCACGGATGCAAGCCACCAAGAAAGAAGACAAATTCGCTCGGTGGAACACGTGGGTAGGCTTCCACTCCTTGGCGGTCGAGACGTATGGCTACCGCTCCCCGGGAGTGCACGCCTTCCTCTGCAGCTACGCCGAGCTCGCGGGGAAAAGGCGGTACAATGCTGCCCCAAAATCTTGGGAGGTGGCCAAGTTCCTTACGGAGTACGGGAAGTGCTGGAGTGTGACACTCGACGAACGCCCTGCGCGATAAGACCCACGAGGCCATAACCGCAGATGAGCTTGGCTTGCAGGGCTCGTTCATGCTGCTCAGCAAAGAGCAGCTGTACTAGCTCATTGAAGAACCCACCGGCCGGTAGGGCCGTGGGGGAGGGGGGTAGAAACCTATGGTGCCCTACCAACAGACACACAGCGGTTCCTACGCCTCCTGAGGACCCATGCTGCCAAGAAGAAATTCATACAGGAGAGGCTCACCACAGTAGCCTCCAAGCTCATAGGACACTACCGACAGCGCTAGTCGGTGATGCTGCAGCATAGCCAGGCGAACACATTGCTGGCAAAGTCCAATAGGGCGACAAAGCGAGCGTTCCCCCAAGCCGCGGCCGACCCATGGCAACCCCGCCTTGGGGACCTCTGGCAATCCTTGAGGACGGCCTAGATTGGGTTACTGAGTGGACATCGTCGACACTCGCCACCACAGCAGAAACCGTGCGTGACGTGTTGGCGAAGTGCCCCTAACGGCATTGGAGCCGGCCCTTCAGGAGCATGCTTCGAGCACCTTCAGGAGCCAGCCCTAGCTAACGGCGAGGTTCTCACCCTGCTCACAAAAGTAGTGAACGATTTACTCAGCACGGTACAGCCAGAGCCCATCCGCGAACTGCTATTACCGTCGCGCTTAATTGCCTTGGAGAAACCCGATGGTGGAGCACGCCTGATAGCTATCGGAGAGGCACTTCTACGAGTGACCGCTAAGATCGCACTAAGAGAACTCGCCACGCAGATTAGAAGGTTCTTTTTGCCAGTACAATTCGGCGTGGCGGTTTCAGGGGGCGCGGAGTGCATAATCCACGCGACCAGAGCGCTACTGAAGGACGACCCATCACGAGTAGCTCTACAGCTGGACGTGGAAAACGCTTTTAACTCGGTGGAGAGGAGTAGCTTCTTTACAGCGCTCAGATGGTCCGATCTGCATGACATAATACCCCTGGTGCGCACGCTGTACGGCAGCCCATCACGTCTGTTGCTGAGCAAGGGTTTCGGGTCCACCCATATCAATAGTGCCAGGGGGGTTAGACAGGGCGACCCTCTAGGGCCCACACTGTTCGCGGCGGCGATCCAGCCAGCGCTACAAAAAGCGGCAACGGCATTCCCGGAGGTAGCAGTGATGGCATACGCGGACGACATCACCTTGGTGGGGGAGCCGGTTGCCGCGGGTGGGGCACTGATGCTCATCAACTCAGAGCTCCGGGAATGCGGCCTACGATGCAACCTGCAAAAGTCGTCGGCGTGGAGCCCAACTGGAACACCCGACAACTTACCTAACGGGCTAGTAGCGGCGGTGGATGGAATTAAGGTGCTTGGTAGCCCGATCGGGACGGAGGCGTTCGGAAGAAGATTTGTAAACGTCACATTGGAGAAAATCGCGACCCCACTCGATCTCCTAAGCGGACTGCACCCACAGCACGCCACATTGCTGCTGTCACGGTGCATCTCGCGGAGGGCGGCGTATCTCCTGCGCACGACATCGGTGGACCTCCTCCCTCTGGCAGAATGGCAAGGCTGGAGTGAGAGGTTGGTCAGCACGGCACTGAACGCGGCCCACCTCTACTAACCACTCGATGAGATGGAGCAGAGCCTGCTATGGCGGCAATCCACTCTCCAAGTGGCATTGGGCGGCCTCGGCATCATTGATCCATCGTCAGAAGCCCCAGCGGCGTACTTGGCATCAGTATCAGCGGCAAATGCCCTCCTCAAACAGCTCCTGACTGCCCCGGACAGCCCGCTGGACAAGGCAACTGGACTGGTAGCACCAGAGCCGGAGTGGTGGAGGGAGGGTGTGAACGAGGTCCAGCGGGATATGTGGGAACGGCTGCCCAGGGCGGGACAGGCGGCACTGCAGGAATATCTCCAGAACGGGGACGTGAAGGGGCATCTGCAGCTACTTCTGTCACGCCACACCAGCACCGAGCGCGCAGCGGAACTGATAGGAGACACTCGCATGGACAAACCCGGCATAGACAACGGGCACGTCCTACGCCTACTGAGTCTACAGGGGAAGGGAGCGGGGGACTGGCTTAATGCCATCCCAACACGAGGGGATCTCACCTTCTCCCCTGGCCAGTACGCGCTGGCGTTGGGGTTGCGGCTTGGGCTTGAACTAGCTGTCACGGAGCACTGCCCTTGCAGGGGGGAAAGGGCGGAGATAAAGGACAGGAGCCTCCCGAACCACCTCCTGAGATGCGCGGAGGGGGGGGGATTGCACTACAACACACAATGCGCTGGTATACTCGGCCCTACGCATGGCAAAAGAAGCGGATTTCCTCACCTTGCACGAGACGGCCATCTTCAGCCCCATAACCAATCCCAAACGGGCTGATTTGGTCATTCGGGATAAGGAATCGGGGGAAACGTGGGTAACAGACGTGACGGTGACTGACCCCGTGCTCCAGCGCCAAAACAAATGGGTGGTGAAGCCACCAGGGTGGGCAGCTGAGGAAGCAGCGAGAACCAAGCAGGGAGAGTACGTGGGAAGGCCTGGATGGGTCGGCTGTTTTGGGTTAGCGGTGGAAACCTATGGGGCATTGGCGAAGGATACGCAGAGGTTCTTCCGGTTGTTAGGAACGGCGGGGGCGAATAAGAAGTTCCGGCAAGGAAGGTCTACCACGGTGGCCTCTAAGCTGACGGCCCACTACCACCAAAGGTGGTCGGTCCTCCTCCAAAGGTGCCAGGCCAACGCTCTGCTCGCCAAGTCGAACAGAGCGACGGAGGCGGCGTTCCCTCGGGGGCAAGCCAACTCGTGGGAGCCTCTGGAGGGGGATCTCTGGCACGTCCTAGAGGACAGCCTGGACCCGGGGTGGAGCCGAGAGGAGTAGAGGGGGCAGGGCCCAGGGGGGCAGGGGGGACAGAGCAGGGCTGACCAGGGTGGCCGGCTTAGTGGGGGTTCCTAGAGCTCAAGGGATGCTGCCTGTTTACCAGCTCGCTTGCTTGTGTGTTCTGCGACATCTCCGCTCTCCCACCAGCTTGCATGTTTCACGGTAGCTTCCTAGACTAGAACCCACCCTTGCATGTCTGTACCCTATATGAAACATCAATGAAGGACCGCTTGAGAGAGAAAGAGAGAGAGAGAGAGAGAGGAGAGAGAGAGAGAGAGTGAGAGAGAGCGAGAGAGAGAGAGAGAGAGAGAGAGAGAGAGAGAGAGAGAGAGAGAGAGGATTAGCCTCTCCCCTTCTACCCTCTGCCCTCTGCTTTCTGCCCTCTGCCATGACTACTTAAGGCCACGACGGCCTCATCTCTCATTCTTTCAGTTAGTGCTGAAAATTTTGGTGTTGTTCGAGAGAGCGAGAGAGAGAGAGGATTAGCCTCTCCCCTTCTACCCTCTGCCCTCTGCTTTCTGCCCTCTGCCATGACTACTTAAGGCCACGGCGGCCTCTCCATCTCTCATTCTTTGAGTTAGTGCTGAAAATTTTGGTGTTGTTTGAGAGAGCGAGAGAGAGAGAGAGAGAGGATTAGCCTCTCCCCTTCTACCCTCTGCCCTCTGCTTTCTGCCCTCTGCCATGACTACTTAAGGCCACGGCGGCCTCTCCATCTCTCATTCTTTCAGTTAGTGCTGAAAATTTTGGCGCTTCGCGCCGGCGGCCTTCGGCCGCGCGTTAGGGATGGCAAGGGGAAACAACAAGCAGTAGTAGCTTAGGCAACCGATACAAACAAAGCAAGCATAGACACTTAGCAAGTAGAGGATGGAACGGGTCTATACGCGCAAGGGGGGAGCGCCTACATGCGGTCCGCCTCTACCGCAGCGAGCATTCCGCTCGTGTTCAACCACAACTGACGGACCACAGACACGGTGGCGCCTACAACGTCAACAGGAGTACCACGGCCTGCTACAAGCGTCCTCAGAGCCAGGGCCGAGTCAGCCAGCTGGCTGGCCGAGGTTGCTCCCGGCGAGGGCGCTACCTGCAGTGGCGTTACGAGCGCGAATAGCGCTGACGCCGCCGCATGACAATCTGCTCCCGGTTCCTGGAGAATTCGCTCAAGGCTCTGCAGGGACGCCGCCAGCGACCATAGGCGGGCCAGGGTCGCCGTGGGAACTTCCTTCATCGGCGGAAGTAACGCAGACGCGCGGGCACGGTGAGACGACACGGCGAGATCACGCGGAGCAGGAAGAGGACGCGGCGGAGCAAACTGAGCCCACGGCGGCCCGCCACCAGCACCTACGAAGCCCATCCCCGCAGGCAGCGGCCGCTCTGAACGCGCCGGGGATCCAAAGGGATTGTGGGGCAGGAGCGCAGAGAGAGGGACGACGGGAGCAGCGCGAGGAGCTGATGGTGACGCCGACCCCGCACGCGAGCGACGAAGCTCCTTCTCCACGTCATCAAGCCTATCCAGAAGACGGCGCTCCATTGCGGACGGCGCTGGACGCGCTTTTCCGCCGCGACTGTCCCCCCCCCGTCGCCCACGACGCGCACGCCCACTTGCGCTCGAGCGCACAGGCGACTGCGGGCGAGATGGGCCCTGCTGACGCTGGCGGCCAGGAAAACGGTCCCCGCGACGAGGGGAGTAGAGCCGTTGGCACTTTGCAGGAGGGGGCGAACGCGGAGCTGGGGGCCGACGCCCAGACGTCTGGCGGGCAGGCGACCGCTGGCGAGATGAACGGTGAGGGGGCGAACGATGACGATGCGAACGGCGGTCACGGGATCGGCTTCGCGACGCCACGCGACGAGGTGACAGTGGCGAACGGGCCGCACCATGACGATCATCGGGGCGGCTCTGCCGCTTATCGTCGTGAGCTGCCGATGAGCGACGGCGAGGCGAACGCTCCTGGTGCGCCACAGCCTCTGCGCCGGAGCGCAAGACGAACCCCGCGCGCAGGGGCTCCTGCGGTGACAAGGACCTGCCCGCGCGCGGAGCCAACTCGCGCCACTGGTCCTCGAAGCGGCGGCGGATCTGATCAGCGGACGCTGGCGAAGCAACAGGCACGCTCGCGGCAGGGCGTGCAGGAGGAAGCAGACGGGGAGCAGGATCGCTCTCCGCGGTGCAGTCGCGGCCAAGAGCGCCAAGGAAATCCATTGGCCAACGCTCAAGACGCTCCACTGGCACACGAGGAGCCGACAACGCCGATGTCCCAGGCGCAACAGGCGGAACCTGTGGCAGCTACCCCATGGAGCGGACGGAGAAGCACGCGAGGGAGAGGCGGGCGACGAGGAGCGCGCGGAGGGCAGAGGAGTGCAGGCCAAGCGGGAAGGGGACCGCCCTGCCAGTTGCCGAGCCCAATCTGGTTGGGGGAGCCGGCGGAACGAGTCACGCGCCAGTCATTCGCCAGGCGGGGGGCGAGGGGAGGAACACCAGCGCAAGCGGGGAGAAACAGGGATATCAACACAGAGGGGAGTGGAGACGATTATGTACCGTCAGATCTGAGGCAACCAGACGATCCTGCCTCACCTCACGCGGAACAAGGGGCAAGCGCAGCAACAGGAGAGAGGAACCGGCCGCAGACAGCATCGCAGGGCTCAGCTTCCCCCGGACCAGGCACTATCGGCGTCCTAGCTGGCCTCGCGGGAGGATCTTTTCCAGATCGCGATGACTTGGGACCTTACACTCCTAACCTCCACCACCCACCTACCAATCGTCCGCCGACTGCCGCCGCAGATCCTCAGCGACTACTCCACATGTATGTTGGCTGCCCTACTTCGGATCTCCAAGCTGCCTAACTGCGCGGAAGCATGGCGGGTCCTCATGTTCCTGCCACGACACTAAGACTTAGCCGGAGATCCAGCTCTAGATGGAAACTGCTGCGGGAACAGATGCATCTATTCCGATGTGGCCACTGGACCCAGCTGTACACTGACTACTTGGGGTCAATGCACCTGGCCGAACCACCTCAGCACCAACATGACCCACTGGGAATCTGCTCACGTGCGGAGGGGTTGGTGAAACGGGGTAACATGCGAAAGGTGTTAGCAGCTCTACAACCCTCGCCTTCAGCACCTGCGACAATTGCGACACTACAGCAGCTGGAATCAAAACACCCCCAACCCCAAAATGACCTGCCCGAGTGGGTGCATTCCTACACCACACCCACGCAATTCTCAACCACTCTGGAACGCTTTTCCGACGTCCTTGGAGAATGCCCCAAGGAAATTGGGGCTGGCCCATCGGGGTCAACTTTCGAACACCACCGCGATCCAGCGCTAAGTAACATCGAGGTACTAGGGCACCTCCACTCCGCCGTTACGCATCTTCTCTCGACAAATCTTTCCACTGAAGTCGCAGCACTACTTGCCCCGTCCCGCCTTATAGCCTTCGCCAAACCAGGGGGGGGGGTACGTCCCATTGCGATTGGAGAGTCATTGCTTAGGCTGGCGACGAAGGTGGCGCTCTCATATCTGCAAGGAGAAACGCGAAATTTTTTCCTACCTCACCAATTTAGCGTGGCAGTCCCTGGAGGTGCAGAATTTGTCATCCATGGTGTCCGAGACCTCACCACGGTGCAGCCCTCCAGCCTAGTACTCCAGCTCGACATTGAGAACGCGTTCAACTCAGTAGAGAGGAGCGCGTTCTTCAACGCACTCATCGGCTCCCCACTAGCTCCCCTAATCCCCTTCACACGCTCTTTCTACGCAGCATCTTCACCAGTGCTGCTGGACCCATGCTTCAATTCCACGGCACTCACCAGCGGAAGGGGAGTCAGACAGGGGGATCCCCTCGGACCTTTGTTATTCGCAGCGTCTATCCAGCAGCACCTCAGGCACGTAGCAACGGAGCACCCCGAAGTCACGGTCCTCGCTTACGCGGACGACATAACCATGATTGGACCCGCGGCGGCGACGCTGGAAGCGCTCAGGGAGCTCACGCCGCTGCTGGCACGGGACGGTCTCATCTGCAACTTTAGGAAGTCGTCGGCGTGGTCCACCGTGCCGCTAGGAGGGGATGTACTCCCCGAGGGCTTTCCCCTCACCCGCGAGGGGGTGCAGGTGTTGGGAAGTCCAGTGGGGTCGCAGAGCTTCTGCTCTGATTTTGTCCGCAACACCCTGACAGACGCGGCAGCCCCCTTGGGCTCTCTGGCGTCCATCCACCCACAACACGCCCTCCTGCTACTGTCTCGTTGCATCAGCCGCAGAGTCGGCTACCTGCTGCGCACTACCCCAGCTGACGTCTTACCGCTCTCGGAATGGCACACATGGTGCGCCAAATTACTGAACACTGCCTTGACTGCCGCCAGCATTCAACCGCCACGCCGACAAGCCGATTTCAACTTCCTTCTCCGACAGGCAACTCTCCCAGTAGCTCTAGGCGGACTGGGCCTTACGGACCCCACAACTGAAGCAACACCGGCCTACCTGGCATCTACAACAGAGGCGCTGCGCCTGCTCCGCTCCCTGGACTTACCGGCAACCGCGCCGTTAGGGGCCGACAGCAACGCCCTGCAGCCGTCTGCAGAGCACTCCGTGACCATCCAGGACATGGAGGGGCGACTGCCACCGCTGGCACTACAAAACATACGGGAGGAGCAGCAAACCCCATCCCAGGACCAGCTGCAGCGCGCCCTCTCCCAGGATGTGCACGCGGCAAAGGCCGACGCCCTAAGAGAGGAGTCACGCGCAATACAGTCAACCCCCGAGAAGGGCCACACACTCCGCCTAGTCAGCCTGAGAGGAGAGGGAGCAGGAGCATGGCTGCAGGCACTACCGTTGACCCCGGACCTCTGCTTCTCACCGGGACAGTTCCGAGCGGCCCTGGCCTTCCGCATGGACATCCGACAGAATGTACCAACCGTGTGCGAGTGCGGAGAACTCGTAGCCGGCTGCAGCCTACCCAACCACTTACTCCACTGCAGCGCAGGCCCCGACAGGACGCGCACACACAACCAGCTGGCCTTCGCCATGGCTAAAATGGCGAGGGAGGCGCAGCTGGTGGTATACCTAGAGAATGCGATGTACTCACCTCCGGATGACCCGAAGAAGGCAGATGTGATTGTACAAGACCCGGACAGCGGAGAGACCTGGATCACAGACACCACGATCACTGACCCTGTGCTGCAGAACCGAGACCCTACGGCCCGCAAACCCCCAGGCTGGGCTGCAAGGGAGGCACAGAAGCGGAAGGAGAGGGACTACTACCGACACACTGAACACGTGGTGTTCTGCGCCCTGGCCGTCGAGACCTATGGGGCAAACGCGCTCCCCACGACGGCGTTCCTGAAACTGCTGGCCACAGCAGCAGCTAGGAACCGCTTCAGGGCCAGCCCCTTGGCGAAATCCTCCAAGAAGATGGCCTGCCACTTCAGCCAGCGCTGGTCAGTGGCCCTCCAGCGCTCCCAGGCGAACGCCCTGCACACCAAGGCCAGGGCTGGGATTGAGGCAGCACACCCCCAGATGGCAGCGGACCCCTGGCCGCTGCACCTGGGGGACATCCTCCACACGCTGGAGGGCTAGAGGGTCACTCAGGGGGGAGGGGAGGGGAAGAGGGGAAAGTTGATGGGCTTATGGGATTGAGGTTATCATGGATAGAACTGCATGTCTGTACCCCTACTGAATTAATACAACGGACCATTTGAGAGAGAGAGAGAGAGAGTGAGAGAGAGAGAGAGAGAGAGAGAGAGAGAGAGAGAGAGAGAGAGAGAGAGAGAGAGAGAGAGAGGAAGCTGAGGCACGCTGCAACATCACCGCAAGATTTGGCTGACTGCTTGAAGGTACCGCTGGGTTGCACACAGAAAACAACGTTTATGGGAGTTTCAACTAAATTTAGCTGGAAGGACTTGAGCAAGCAAGAGACAAGCTGGCTTATGAGCCCCGAGCTGTTTGACCCTTAAATCGACTCAAAAGCCATACTAAGGGAGCTCTACCTTCTTGAGGGTTTGATGTTGCTTTGCTCGCCCTCACCAACCAAGGGGAGCTTTTACCTTCTTGCCAGCTTACTTTCTTGCCAGCTAACCTTCATGCCAGCTTGCCTTCTTGCTAGCATACCTTCTTGCCAGCTTACCTTCTTGCAAGCTCACCTTCTTGGTAGCTCACCTTCTTGCCAGCTTAACCTTCTTGCCAGCTCACCCCAGCCTACCTTCTTGCCAGCTCATCTTCTTGACAGCTCACCTTCTTGCCAGCTTACCTTCTTGCCTGCTTACCTTCTTGCCAGGTTACCTTCTTGCTAGCTCACCTTCTTGGCAGCAGCGACGGTGACAGCAAAGCCAAATCAAATCAAATCAAATCAAATCTGACAAAGCCATCCGTGCACTGTAGCACTTCGTTCCATAGCTGTCGCAGGTTGTCCACCTCCTTGCCGCTAACTCGCTTGACCTGGAGGGGCACAATAAAGGGTGGTTGGGACAAATATACAGTGGGGAATATTCTGGAAGATTCTGCACATAATAAAGGCCCTCATGTTATCCACCTCTCGGCCGTTGACTCGCTTGAACTTGAGGCAAATAAAGGTGGTTAGGACTAACACAGATGGGTATACGTGGTGTGGAAGGAAATAGATGGCGATACGAGCATGTCTGAAGCTAGTGAAGGAGACAAGATGGGTTGACAAGGAATCTATGAGGTAGATGCTTTTGAGCCGAGTCACGCACGCCAGAGTTCTCCAGTCAAACATTCCTCTCCCTTTTGGTCAGTCTCCTAGCCTTGAACAGATTTCAAAATGGTCCCTTCATGCCTGACGCTCACTTTTTTACGTTTTTTTTAATTAAATTTATTGAGGTAGTATGTATCCTTGTAGTCTAGATGGTTAGGACATTCGGTATTCGCTCGAAAAATCTGGGTTCAAGTCTCGACAACCAAAGTCGTCGTTTTCTTCGCAGCATGTGTGTTGATGATACACATCCAGCACTTGCAAGCTCCCATGTGATGCTTAGGGCGTGTCTCTTTTTTGCTTTTATGGATTTTGACGGACTGTCCGGTTGTATGTAAACGGACAGTTGCAATAGCGAGTTTCGGACAGTCCGATTCAAAATTTCAAAACATTGGACAGTACGAAGGCAAAAGCATCACTTTCCCGAGTGCATTAGTATTCCAAAGTACTGTAGCATCGCCAGGCATCGTACACTCACGTAACCTCAGTCACACCCCATCGCCAACTTCGCATAGCCAGGCCGCGACTCGATGCCCCCTGAAAGCCAATCGTCAACATTCTACATAGGCTATACCACACCAATTCAGTAAACAACGTCGAGCCACACACACAGAGCACTATCAAAACAGAACGAAAGCAACGCCATGTCTAGGAGGCTGCTCCTATCAATGCTCCACCTGCTTTACAGAGGCTACCACGAGTTCATCGTCCGTCCAGCCTTTGAACAGCTCACGGATGTTATTCTACTGCTTGAGGACGATGACCGCAACACGATGCGTCATGACCGTAGGAGCCAGCGGGCACGATGGGATGTCCTTCTCGACTCCTTGCCTCGCCGCATATTCATTGAAACGTTTAGAGTTAATCGGGCGGTGTTTGACTACCTAGTGGAGGCGTGGATAACGCGGAACGGGGACCGTCGTCGTGTAGTGCCCATTGAGACAGTGGTGGCTATGACTCTAGTGTATCTTGGCACGGGTGCCACATTCCGTCAGGTGGGATTGCAATTTGGTGTTGTGCCTCAACACGGATTTGGGCCTGGCGGGAGATGAAAGCGGCGAGGACCTCGCACTCCTCCTCTGGGGTCCAGCGCGGCTGCGTCCTCCCCGTAGATCTGCGTGACGGAGCGGTGGTCTCGCGGGTCGGGGACATCTCCTGCTCAGCGGGCTCCTCCTCAACCTCCCCGAGCGCCGCGGCGTTGTCCATATCTGCGCCTAGTCCGTAGTCGTCGTCGGCGTTGTATGAGGCTGTGGGAGACGGGATGTGGTAGACCCTCCAGTCAACTTGTGCGTTGGTGGTTGTGGTCGGGGTTTGAGCATTGGCGGGAGTGGGATTTTGAATATGAGACTCTTGTGTCTCTGGTGCAGCAGCATCCGGATCAGGTTGGGTAGAGGTAGTAGGGACGGAGGTGTTGGGTGTGGTGTTTGCCGGTCCAGAGTTCTCATTTCCGCTGGACTGCTCCATTGCGTGCTGATTGTGGTGGTTCGGTTCGAAAAGGAATCGTCTTTGTAGTGTAGCAGGGGTAGTGGGGGTGTCTACGGTTCAATGTTCTATTTGGCGCCGCGCGCCCAATATTTTGTTAGACATGCGGCTCGGTGTTTTTTTTTCGTTTTTTCGCGCGCCAATCAGATGTCAGAGATTGAATTCCGTCCGTTTGCTTTTCGAACTGACAAAGGTCCACATTGTGAACCGTTGCTTGGAGGGAAAAGTGATGTGACGTTTCGAACAGTGGGCGAAATCGCGAAGACCATGGCGAAAAAGTTGCGAAATCATGCGAAATAGGTAACCTTTTCGCGAGCCGAACGGTCCACGGTTCGAACCGTCAGCGTCAAAAAAGAGACACGCCCTTAGCAAAACCAACTTACAGCTTCCCATCTTCTCACTCATGTCAGTAGCACAATTTGTTCCAAAAGAAGTGCTCAATATACTCTTTTCGTAACCTTACACCAGTTCAGGCAGCTATTGCATGAGTGAGCCAACACCACCTCCTCTCTCATAATTCTCCATGCTCCAAGTCCCAGGAAAAGGGCCCTGATCATCCCACAACCAGCACCACCTAACCCAGCTCCAAATGCTTTTGTTTCAATCCCTACTTCTCTTCCCTTTCCCCACCCAAAGATCTCCCCAGCTGTAGGTGCCACTGCCAGACGATCCCTTGTCCACCGACCCGTCCTCCCATCCATTCTCTGCTCATGCCATGCCCACGTTCAAGCTGTCCTCATTGAACACGTCCCCTGCTTGAACCTTGCTGTCCTTGGTCTGGTTCAAGACGGCCCTGCTTGAACCCCCCCTCAGCCCAGTTCAAGACGGCCCTGCTAACCCTTTTCTTTTCTGCCCTTGGCCTGGTTCAAGGCATCCCATCTTGAACACTTCGTCGTCCATTGCCTGGTTCAAGACGTCCCAGCTTGATCCCTTCCCCCCTGGCCTGGTTCAAGACGCCCCTGCTTGAACCGTTGCTTCGCCCTTCTCTGCATCACCTTGTTGCAGATCCCAGGAGGAAGCACACGGCACGCGGTAGCGCCTCAGGATCTGAGCGCTTGCCTGGATGGGGGTGGGCGCACAGAGGAAGGAGGAGGTCAGAGAGCGAGAGGGAAGCACATGGCTCGCAGTAGCTCATCTGGAGGGGAAGAGAATGCAGAGGAAGGGGGCGATGGGAGAGAGCGATGGGAGAGAGCATAAAACGAGCATGCAGAGCAGGAGGCAATGGGAGAGAGTGTAAGACAAGAATGCAGAGCACGAGAGAGCGATGATCGTGCAGAGCAAGAGAGAGCGATGATCGTGCGGAACGGGGGAAGGACCAGCCAAGGGTATGCTGCAAGATTTGGGTAACTTCTTAAAGGCCTCATTGCGGTGCGACTTTTGAGAATTCTCAAAAGTCGCACAAACGGCCTCATTGCGGTGCACACAAAAAATGGCGTTTTAAGAGTTTCAACTAGTATTTGGGGGGAGATACTTGAGTGAGAAAGGAACAAGCTGGCTCGGCTTGAAGCAAGCCACTCCTGTTCAGCTCATCCTTGCTCACGAGCCCAACGTTGTTCGGCTCGTTCGTACTGAGGGTGCGCTTACCTTCTCGATGGGTAATGACGCTGTTTGGCTCATCCTTAAGGGTGCTCTTACCTTGTTGTCTTGAGAGGTATCAGGCTGTTTGGCTCATCCTTAAGGGTGCTCTTACCTTGTTGTCTTGAGAGGTATCAGGCTGGTTGGCTCATCCTTAAGGGTGCTCTTACCTTGTTGTCTTGAGAGGTATCAGGCTGTTTGGCTCATCCTTAAGGGTGCTCTTACCTTGTTGTCTTGAGAGGTATCAGGCTGTTTGGCTCATCCTTAAGGGTGCTCTTACCTTGTTGTCTTGAGAGGTATCAGGCTGTTTGGCTCATCCTTAAGGGTGCTCTTACCTTGTTGTCTTGAGAGGTATCAGGCTGTTTGGCTGTTTGGCTGTTTGGCTGTTTGGCTGTTTGGCTGTTTGGCGCGGCCTCATCAAGCAAGGGGTGCTCTTACCTTCTTGGCAGCAGCTACGCTGACAGCAATCACGCGGTCGTCGTCCAAATCAAATCTGACGAAGCCGTCCGTGCACTGTAGCACTTCGTCGCGTAGCTGCCTCAAGTTCTCCACCTCCTTGCCGTTGACTCGCTTGACCTGGAGGGGCACCACGAAGGGTGGTTGGGACCAACACAGAGGGGAAACATTTTTCCGAGGATTCCCGATAAAGAAGGGAGCTGCTGTTCATCTCCTTGCCGTTGACTCGCTTGACCTGGATGGGCATAACAGAGGGTGGTTGGGCCCAGAATAAAGGGGAAGCACCATTGAGGATTCTTAACAAAAAGGCCTCAAGTTTTCGATCTCTTTGCCGGTCATCTCCTTGCCGGTGACTCTCTTGACCTGCCTGGCCTGGAGGGAACAGACGGCGGTTGACCCGCTTGCCTGACACAAAACGGAATAAGAGCAGATGCTGACTTGGTTGACCTGAGGGAATATGTGCTGGAAAAGGGAATAAAAGGGAGATACGAGCATGAGTGGAACAGCAGCCACTTATGAGGGGGTTGGTAGGTGGGAAGTGAGAGAGGGAACAAATGGGACACACACACATGCACATGCACATGCACCTTCACATGCACATGCACCTGCACATGCACATGCACATGCACCTGCACATGCACATGCACATGCATACTCACACATGGATATGTCATGTGCACGCTTCCCATTATCCCCACATGTGCATGCGAACCATCCACTAATAATCCCTTCCTCCGCCCCTCTCAATGTCACATCGAAACGTCACCTGCCCCATTGGAACCCCTCGCCCCCTCCTCGCCTACAGCTCTCCGGTTCGATTCCGGCCGTCAGCGGTTCCTCATTCAAAATCGACTTCATCTGTCAACACTCACCGCCTGCCATTTCCGTTCCCCCACACCCTGCACACCCTTTCCCCTCACCTGCAGCTCCGCCAGCCGTTCAAAGCCAGAGTTGACCTCATCGGCCAGCACCTGCCGTGGTGAGGGCAGGGGAAATGGGCACGACAGAGTGGGGGGCGAATGGAGATGGTACACATACTGAGAGAGGAAAGGGAAAGCGTGAGTGAGTGGGGGTTGAGTGGGAAGGGGACGACAGAATCACGATCTGCTGGCTGGGCTTGGAGGGGATGACTCACAGTGCCTGCTCGCACACACAAGTACACCCACCATCCCATTCTCTCCCGCCCCCCCCGCCCCCTCCTCCCCCCCTCCCACTCACCCGTGACAGAATCACAATCTGCTGGCTGGGCTTGGAGGGGATGTCTCTCAGCGCGCGCTCGCACAGCCGTCTGGGGCTGCTGTTGAACCAGTCAGGGCCGTACTCGTGCAGGTACGGCTGGGTCAGCGGCACAAACACCAGGCCCGCGAAGATGAAGTAGGAGGGGGAGATGTCAAACTGCTGCGCTGGCACCAGTGCTGGGATCTGGTAGGAGTGGAGTGGGCAGCGGTTGAGAGATGGAGGATGGCAGAGCATGGACGGAAGACGGGCAAGATGTGAAACTGCTGCAATGGAGCCAGAGAGAAAGAAACTGGTACTGAGGGGGCTACGTCCGCAGATACGCGCTTCTTGTATAATACGCAAGCGTAAATACGCTATTCGCTAAATGTCTCTTTTGCAAAAAAAGTGAAAAAAATCGCCGGCTCAGGCAAGGAAAGAGGGAAAAATCTGCTGTAGGGGGGGTGGGGTAGGGGGCCGAGAACGACGTGGGATGCTGAGAGCAACGATTTGTTCCAACCTTGAACTGAAGTGCGCAACATGTGCACACCTTTGGCGATCAAGTCAACCAGTCGCTGACTGGAATGAGAAAATGCTTGAGGATGGGATGGGTGGCTTCAACAACAGTCCTGTTGTTGCCACTAGAAGCTTCGACTAGCGCCCCATTGTTGGACGCCAAGCAAGTGGAGCTAGTTATTGCTTGCAATGCAACTACTAAAGCTAAGGCTACGCTTGTCGAGCATGCACACGCGTGACCTGGTTGTCCAGTGGGGGAGGAACTCTCACAGAGACAGACGCTGTCTGTCTGTCTTTTGAAGGCAAGGCAGCAGTCATGAAGAGCACATACCGGGTTGAGGCGGATGTGGAAGTCCATGGGCTGCCCGTGCCGCAGCACCGACACCCGAGCGGTTTCCCCCACTGGCTTGAGCGACACGAGGTAGTCAAAGGGCAGACGCTCCCTCTTGCGGAACATGACTGGGGAGGGAGAGGTGGGGGGAATGGGGAGAGGAGGCGAGAGGTAAGTTTCTGTAGTTTCAGAGACACAAGGCAGTCACGCTCCCTCTTGCGAAACATGACAGGGGGGCCCGTGGGAGTGGGTTTGGTGTGGGGGTAGGAGGAAGAGGGGGGAGGAAGAAGAGCAGGAAGGAGGAAGAGGGGGGAGGAGGAAGAGTGGGGCACGTGGACACGTCACCATTCCGTAGAGCTGACTTGTGAGTCGATTCAACAAGTGCGTTGTAGCATGGCATTGATTCAGACTAAAAACTCAACAAGCACTCACTTGACCCGTCATTGGCGATGGGAACGCCGTCAAACGCCGTGAGCACATCATCATTCCGCAGCCAGCGGCTGGAGTCGCTCAGCGGCTGCACCGCGTTCACGACCACTCCCGTGGCGCCACGTGGCATCTTGAGGTGCGCCCGCAGCTGCCAGTTCTCGAGCGGCTGGCAGGACACGCCCAGCGAAGCAAAGCCCGGGAAGCGGCGGTGCCCCAGAGATGCGTCTGCTAGGAAACGACGGATGATGGGCACTGGGACGATGTAGCTGGGTGGAGAGGGGAGGGAGGGAGAGGAGGAAAAGGGACGGAGAGGGGGGGAAGGGAGGGGAAAAAGAAGATGGGGAGGAAGCAGCAGCAGAGCGAGAAAGGGCATGACGCAGCAGCCCTGGCAGTTCTCAAGCGGCTGGCACGACACGCCTAGCGAGGCAAAGCTCGGGAAGCGGCGGTGCCCTAGAGATGCGTCTGCTAGGAAACGACGGATGATGGGCACTGGGACGATGTAGCTGGGTGGGGGGGGGAGGGAGGGGGCAGGGAAAGGGAAGAGAGGGATAATAAGCGCTGGGGCGATGTAGCTTCTGGGGGATTGGTGGGGTGGGGGGAAGTGGGGGTGCGTAAGAAGCAGAAATACTAGGAAAGGGGAGAACAGAAAGTGAGAGACGATGGATACTGAGAGGGGGAAAGAACGGGGGAGGGGAAGGTGAGCTTCCTTAGGCCCTTACCATGCTTGCCTGTACTTGCCGTTATACGATAACGTGCTGTATTACATGCTCTATTCAATGAAAGACCATTCCGAGAGAATGAAAAACGATGAATGATGGGCACTGGGACGAAGGGAGAGGTGATGAAAACGACAGATGGAGTCGGGTGGAGGGAATGAGTGAGTGAGAGAAAGGGGCAAAGGGATGTGTAGGGCAGCACGGGCCCTAGGAGCTGCTGAAGGCCGCATGAAAGCCTACAAAGCGTCCCACCTCCCCTCACCTGCACCACCCCTCAGCCACCCTCTCCCTCACTGCAACCACATCAAAGCATGTGCACCCTACAGCCACCGTCACCCCATTCGTTCCATAACCCTACCACCTCATTGCCCCGCCCCATTGCCCCAGCCATCTCACATGGGATCGCATGCAAGTGAGTGGTTTGCTCCAACAGCCTATCAGCTCGTTTCGTTCAGTAACTCACCCCACCACCCCGCCCGCCTCACCGGATGTCTCCGCCCCCGACAGGTTCTGAAATATCAGCCTTGTCATTCAACACTTCTGCCTGCTGCCTTCCACTCCTGTTAACCACCCTTGATAAATCAGCAACTCACCCGATATTTTCCGCTCCTGACAGGTTCTGGAACGCCAGCCCTGCCACGCGGTATTCCAACTGCTGGGCCCCTTCCGCCCCCCTGCTCCCCCTCACCCCCCCCTCCCCCCACACCCCTCTCCCCATCCCTCCCCCCCCTGCTTCCCCGCCACTCGCCCATCCTCCTTCCACCCCTCCCGCTCCCTCTCCCATCCCCCCTTCGACTCCTTCCCCTCCCGCATCAGGGGCGGCAGGGGCGGGAGGTGCGGCGGCAGCAGGGGCGGCGGCAGGGGCGGCAGGGGCGGCAGGGGCCATGATGAGGGCGGGGCCACCGCTGTTGCCGGGGTTGATGGCAGCGTCGATCTGAATGGCCAGCAGGTGCGCTGCGCTGTGCACGTATTGAGTTGGTTCCACTCTTGAGACGACTCCCATGGTGATGCTGATGTTGTCACCGCCTGACATAGGGGACGGTGGAACGTGTTGAGAGGAAGAGGGAGAGGTGTGGATCTGAATGGCCAGCAGGTGCGCCGCACTGTGCACGTACTGGCTCCACCCGTGACACCACACCCATGGTGATGCTGATGTTGTCACTGCCTGGCACGGGGTGGTGGTGTGGTGGGTGGGAAAGGGAGAGGTGAGCGAGGGAACAGTATGAATGGGCAGCAAAGTGAGCCGCGCTGTGCACCACGCCCATGGTGATGCTGATGCTGTCCCCCCACGAGGGGCCGGGAGGGGTGCGTGGGTGGGCATTGACCTCGTTGACCTCGCTGACCACATTCCCACAGTCACGCACCTTGTGGGTATCCCACCACGGCGATCGACTCCTGCAGAAGCGGCACGTCCCCCAGCTCCAGCGCGCGCATGCCCTCCCAGAACTCCTCGCTGTCCGCGCGCGCATCCCCGCTGCCCCCGCCGTTGATCCCCCCCTCCCCGCTGCCCACGCTCGCGGGGTCCTTCACTGAGAGCAGCGCCAGGTCGCAATCGTGTGCTACAGCTTCTACAGTAGCGAGGAACTTCTTAGGGGATCCGTGCCTTCTAACGAGTACAAACGTGTGGTCCGCGACGACGTGCGCGCTCGTGAGGATGCGCCGTCCCGATACGACGAATCCGGACCCCGTCACCTCGCGCTGCGGCTTGCTCTGCCAGGGAAGCCAGTAGTTAGGGCTGCTCGCGACGGCGAACACTTTAACTACCGAGTCTAACGCCGCCTCGCGATCGTCCGACATGCCGACTACTCCCGGACTATGCTGGTGGTTCCCCGCGTTTCCCGCTACGCCGTCCGCTGCTGCGGTGAAGCTCCTTGCGGCGGGGATGCCGAAGCTGGAGGTACGGACAGGGGAGAAGAGGACCGAGGCTGCCGAACTTCGATAGTTTTGCGGCCAGGTTCGGCATGGGAATGTGCTTTGCGGTTGTGATTGTAGCGGGGGCGCGGGGAAATCGTGCGGGGGGAAGGCGGAAGCGGACGGGGCTAGAATAGAAGGGATGGCGGAAGTCGGGGCGGAAGTGAGACGGGAAGGAGCGTCAGGCGCGCGCGAGGCGGAAGGGGGAATGCAGACGGGTGCGCGCGCGGGAAACGCAGACAGCGGAAGGGAATGCGGCGGAGAGGGGGAGGGGGAGGCGAGAAGGTGGAGAGGGGCGGAAGGGGAAGTGGCGGAAGGCGCGGAGGCGCAAGAATGGCGGTGAATGGTGCGGAGGAGGAGGTAGGAGAGGCGGTAGGCGGAGGGCAGGCAGGCGGAGACTGTCCGCTCGCGCGCCAATGCCATCGCCATGATGAATCAATGCTGCGGTATTTTATCCCTGGTACAAGATAGCTCGGAACTATTCTAGGCGAGGTGCTCCAATGGGTCGACGAATGGCTAGAACCGAGGTTTCTAACGAGAAGAAACTCACGGAAACGGAATCGAAGGGATTGATCTACAAATGTCGAGAACTCCGTCGAACCCCGCGGCTGTCACTTCTGCTGTCAACTATTGAGATACTTCTCCTGCGGCAGTCACTGCGGTTTTCACTGCTGCTGTTTTGGTTCATCGCGAAGGGTATCGAGCTTGAATATGTTCTTAATCAGACCCAGTCAGTAGAACCCTTCGTTTTAAGAACGCTGCCTGCCCTTGGGCGCTAAGCCCTGCTCAGATCCGCTTGCACCGAGACACACTAAAGAACAGCGCTACCACCGAGAATCCAAGGAACAAGCGGCTTGAGGATCGCGGAGCAATTTATGGACGACTGCGGAGCGGAGCTGAATCCGTTGGTTCTCTCCACTCCGCTCCCTGGTCCTTGCTTTCACGGAGGGATAAGGGCGTGGAAACTTTGCATCCGGTCGCGGAAACCGGTTGCGGAGTTGCACTGCTCAGGGTGGTTCCCGACGTCGCGCAATGTTCGCAAACTCAACTTGCGAAATCTCGAAAGTGGTTTGAGGAATTCGCCACGGAACTGCATCGGGGTCTCGGAAGTTCGGAGTCGGAACACCCTGCATTCTATTTGCCAATGGGTTGCGCATCCCACGTGAAGGCCCAACGAACGATTTCGCAATCCACGTTCCAGAACTGTCTTGGGTTGCGTTACTTGACTCTCGCTGAAACCACAACTCTGCAACTGGTTTTCGCAATCACCTGCAAATGTTTCACGCCCTAAGGACGATATGAAGGTGGTGGGCAATTCGTTTCCTTGCGTGAAATGACCGTTCCCTCCCCCCTGCCTGCCACAACGGCAAACGACGGGTAAATAGAACCGTTTGACTTGGTGAAACTCGAACGCGCTAAGGAGTGGATCGAGAACAGAAAGCGGCACGGTCATACGTTGTGTTATGAATGAGCTAACAAAATGCGCGGAATTAGTGAATAATGAGATTCTACTCAACAGACTTACGATACAACGAAGGTGACGAAACCCCAGCTAGGCCCGGACGTCTGGTAGATAGAGCACGAAAGGGTGGCGAGTGGTGTGAGGGCGACTTGGGAATGGTTTGGGGCGGAAATGTAGGCCGAACTACTTAACACATGATGCTTTAAAGCATGGGTACAGCATAATAGCTTTCAAGTTCAAGATTCTTGAACTTAAAATAGCCAAAAGCAGGGTTACCCTACCTTTTTTAAGAGAACTCTCGCGACTTTGGGACAATGCCTAGTGACAACCTCTCCTGGTTGGCTTTTGTGTTCAGTCGCAAAACTGAGGCGCTACCATCATCGCCCGGATATAAGACATATATGTCTTATCTCGTACACGGGCAAAAATGCTTGAGTTATCTTGTAAACGGGATGGTTTAGGGTGTCTTATAAGTCTTATAAATGGAAAAAAACATTAAGTTGATTGTAACACTTGCAAAGTGTGTAGAAACCACCCAAGGACCAGATTCATTGAATCAGGCCGACCTCGGTGGTGATGCATGCAGCGCCCACACTTGCCACGTGAGGGAGCTGCCACCGCTGGCAACATTCCTCCGTGCTAGCAGCATCTAATGATGCTGCCAGCGTCGTTTTGCTGCCAGCAGCGCAGGGATGCTTCCAGAACGCGCTGGTAGCACGTTGGCAGCGTGAGGTACGAAGAGATGCCTCGTAGAGGAGCGGCTCGGCACCTGTGGATGGGGCACTCTAGCTGGGGGGGGTAGTCGGGCTCTCACTGTGAAAATAGGAAAACAGGAATGAATGAACTATGAATGAAAGCAGTACAAATATGAAACCCTAACTGGGTTGTACCCCCTATGGGATACCCCACTACAGCCTACACAGCAGTATAAGCTATAGATATGTTCTGACACACCCCCATAGGCAAAGTGGGGGAGAACAAGGGGTCACAAGACCAGTCAAGCAAGACAAAGCAAAGCTCAGGGTGGATCACAAAGTCACCACACAGTCCGAGCACAAGAGCAAGGCCAAAGGCCAGTTCACAAGCAAGAGTACAGACATATATATAAAGCTAGACAAGCAAGAGCAGGTATATATATATGTCACAGTACAAGTGAAGTCAAGAGGAGAGCAAGTGAGGCAAGACAGGCACAAGACCCAGCTGGGTGCAGAAGCGCTGATGGTCACAAGGCGCAAGTGCCTTGGTGAACACATCAGCAGTGTTGGCCTCAGAGGCCACGTACGCAAGTCGCAACTGACCACGCTGCTGCAGCTCACGAGCAAGGAAGTAGCGGAGAGCAATGTGCTTCATTCTGTGCTCCAAGCGCTGCTCTCGACACAAGGCCAGCATAGCCTTGTTGTCTACGTACAGCACTGGAGGAGAACGAGGCGGCTCTCCAAGGTCAGTCAGCAGGTAGGTGAGCCAGCGAAGCTCCTGTGCAGCCATGGCCCCGGCGTAGATCTCAGCCTCACAACTGGAGCCGAGAACCGAAGACGAGCGAGTAGACCGCCACGAGACAGAGCCGGAACCAAGGCTGAAGGTGTAACCCTGTGACGACCGCTGCGTAGCCTGGTCGTCAGCCCAAGAAGCGTCCGCGTGGCCGGTAAGGACCACTGGACTCCGCCCTCCAAGCACTAGCCCCATGCCTGACGTACTGCACATGTAGCGCAATACCCTCTTCGCTGCAGCCATGTGCTCCGGTCTGTGTCTCCCAGGAGCAACATAGCGTGCAAGAATGCTCAGAGGGTATGCAAGGTCAGGTCGTGTGCAGGTCATCAGGTACATGAGGCAGCCAACAAGCTCCGCATACGGACCACTCGACTCTACGGACTCATCCGAAGGCAGAGCTGAGAGTGAGTGGCGAGTAGGCAGAGGAGTGGCCTGAGGCGAGGAGTACGTGAAGCCGAAGCGCTGAAGGACCTGCTGCACCATGTGTGACTGAGTCAAGGTAATGGTGCGGCGTGCTCTGTCCCGAGTGATCTGCAAGCCAAGGTAGCTGCGCAGTTCACCCAGGTCTGTGCACGTGTGTCTCTTCAACAGCTCGGACTTCACGTAGGCGAGTCCAGCAGTGTCCGCTGTGGCAAAGACCAGGTCGTCGACGTACACGAGGATGTAGAACGGCGGCAGGGAAGTGTCGGTGCGAAGAAACAGCGACGGGTCAGCAGTAGAAGGAGCAAACCCAAGAGCCGCAAGCGTAGTCCTCAGTGTGTCGTGCCACTCACGCGGTGCCTGGCGGAGACCGTAGACTGGCCGTCGGAGGCTCCACTGGGTGCCAGGAGGGAAAGTCCCAGTGAAGCCAGGTGGACGGCGAAGCCAGATCTCCTCGTGCAGGCTACCCTGCAAGAACGCAGTGCTGAAGTCGAGAGAGTGAAGCTCGTAGTCGCGCTGAGCGGCTATGTGCAGCAGCACCCGAAGAGTAGTCATCTTCGGGGTGGGAGAGAAGGTCTGAAAGTAGTCAACTCCCTGCCGCTGACTGAAGCCACGAGCAACGTACCGTGCCTTGAAGACAGGTGGAGAGCCCGGCGGCCGCTTCACCCTGAAGATCCACATGCCACTGACGATGTTCGCCCCAGGAGGGGGAACCGCGTCAACGTAGGTGCCTGTGGACTTCCAGGAAGCCATCTCTGCATCCATAGCTGCCTGCCACTGAGAGGAGTAGGGACCCTCTACGGCCTCCGCGTAAGAACGCGGAGTCGGGATGTCTAGTGCATCCGGGTCTCCCTCAGGGGCAAGCAGTACAGACGCGAGATGAGGTGAAGCAGCCGCTAGACACTGTAACTCCTCCTGCCTGTCCTCTAGGACGTCCGTGCCAAGAGCACACTCACCCCCGACGGACGGAGGACAGACAGACGCAGACTCAGCAACAAGACTAGCAGCGTAGTCGAGACGACAGCGAGCAGCAAAGTCGACGAGCTCAGCGACTAGAGCAGACGCAGCAGTGGACTCAAAAGAGGGGTCAGTGACGACAGTAGCAAGCAGACGCGTGACAGTGGGACTGGCAGCACGAAGAGAGTCCGACTCAGGGTCCGCAAGCGCAGGAAGAGAGGACTCAGGAGGAGAAGGCAAAGGGGCACGCAGAGGAGCAGTGGACGGACGTAAAGACATCCGGTGCGTGCCAGGGACAGGAGGAGGACGCTGACGCGAACTGCGACCACTAGCGCGAGCAGCACGAACAGGCGACGCGGGACGAGACGCAGGCTCACGACGCTCAGCAAGACCTCCAGTAGGACCAGTGTAAGGAGAGGGAGCAGGCAGTGGAGAGGAAGGCTCCAGTAGGGGCTGCGACTGGACAGGCGGTGGACCCTCTACTGGAGGAGAAAGACCAAGAACCTGCTGAAGGAGCGGAACGAAGTACGGCCGAGGCCGCGCGGCAGCTCTAGACTCA